TCTGGATATCGCCGCCAAAACGATCGGTGACAAGAACAATTAGCGATTACAACGGAATTAACCAGTAAACAGGCTTTGTTGCCGATTTTTTAATGTTTCAACCGACGTTCCAAAAATATTTGTTATTTGGTACTCGTTAAAAATATTCAATTCAATAAAATATTAAATTTTGCCCACCCGTACTCGCATATCAATGAGAAATAGTTGTGTAAATATCGCAAAATGCCACGTGCTTTCAACATTGTGATTACAATACAATGGCACTTAATGGTATTTTGTGAATTTGGTGATTTTGCAAATCTGTGACATGCTGCTAAAAGTTTCGTCTGATTTGAAAATCGTGCACTTTGGTCACAATATATCCAAAGTGACTATAACACTTTACTAACACTCTTATAGTCATTTTGAATTCAACGATATCATTGATAGTCACATGACCACTTTCGTTCAAAGAAAGGCACTGGTAGTATTCCAACATATGGTTTCAAAGACGCGGAGCGTTTTTGCGGGAGAAGCGGAATCGGTGTGCTTCTATAATAATCATATTATAAACAAGAATTTTGCCGTTAATGCAAAAGCTTTATCTCCTATGTCTGCATATCATAGGTTAGAATTCCGGTAAATATCGTTATGATATGCAGAATTGAGTTACAAAAGTACTAGTATGTTACTTATTTGTCAACTTAATACTCGAAAATATTTGTTAACTTTGAATTTTTATTCCATTCAAAATCGGAAAAAAGTGCTATTTCTCTTCAAAATCGGAAAAAAGTGCTATTTCGCAGTCCCTAAAAAAAGTTGCAAAAGTGCTTCGCAATTTTCGCAAAAAAGTGCGCTAATAGTGAACACTGATGATGACCGTACATTTGAACCCACGTACATTTGAACCCACGTACATTTGAACCCATGTCTATATCCGCGGGTTCAATCAATATGCGGGTGCTGAAACCCATGGGTTAGGGTTAGTATGGGTTCAACTATCCGTACAACAACAAAATTTCCATAGGTGCAATAGTATGCAGGTGCAATTGTCATGGGTTCAAATGTACGTGGGTTCAAATGTAATGGAACCGTGTTGTATAAATGATGACGGAGCAACCCGTCCTGCACAACTCCTGCCTTTTCCATATTATTCAGAAATTTTATTGTTGAATCTTTTTGATTTCTCAAGTGACAAATAAAATAACCTTGACTCTGTTTGTTTTGCTTTATGTCAGAAAACCAAAATGATTAATTGTTGATATTACAGATAGCAATGAATCGGTTTTAATGAAAGGCTTGCCTTGGTGTCTTATAGATCAGTGGTCGGCAACCTTTTTAAAGTGACGGACCGGTAAAGCTTGACCAAACTTTTGCGGACCACCTTTACACAAACAAACTAAGCCTATGCAATAACTTATATGTTTCTTACTTCCAGCCTATTTCGATATTTCGCTTTTGTAGTTACCAATATTGAAAACCAGGCCTCACATTAAGATTTCGGGAAAGTTAACAATGCCTGTATCGTTTTGTTGGAGAAATCTTAGTCGAACTGATGAGAGACATTCTTATACGGCCGTAGAGAAAACAATTGACCCAGCATTATTGCGACATACTGACATGGCAGTTGTTTATGAAATCAGACATGTTGCTCAATAGTGTTATGCAGTGGTCGGCAAACTTCATGTACTTGCGGGCCAAATATAAAAATTTCCGCCAGCGCGCGGGCCGCAATATTTCCGCCTTCGAACAATCGCTACCATAATTAAACTTCAAATTATGGCGCATTCGCATTGCTACCCTTTTATTGCTGTATTGAAAGCTTGTCCCAATGAGATGTATATGTGGCATTTTTTTTTATTATCCAACAATACATTGTTTTTATGTACTTATTATCAATGTGAAAGATGATGTTTTTATGGCGTCGTCCAAATGGTGATCTGACAAGCGAGTACGAAATTTAATCTGAGTGTAATGCATTTTAGATAAAGCTGTTCAGGGCCATATGTTCTTCCGAACGTTGCACAGATGAGCTGTGGTGCAGTCCCGGGTCTCGGGGTCGAATTTTCGACGACTCGTTGCGTAACGAGTTTAACATTGAAACCCTTAACAACTGCGATGCTGACTGGGCATATCGAGCAAACCGGTTTTGGAATGCGCAAGAAAGAAAAATATTTTTCCGTTCAAGCACTTTGGTTGAAATGCTCGACCCGCGTCGCTCCGTTTTCCAGTCATTTTCAAATTTTAAAAATCAAAATTAACTCGAACGACATACAACTGACGCTACTTGTTACATAAGAAGCTCCGTACAGCAGCACTTGTCACCACATAAATTTGGGATTCATTTTTGTTTTATTTATTAAATGTCGGGTCGTTCAAGGGCCGCAACAAATTAGCTCGCGGGCCGCATTTTTTCCGACCCCTGGTGTTGTGTTTGTCTGGTTTACTGTTGGGTGCTGTTTTTTAGTCGTAGGGTTTGTGGTTAGATTGTAGAGGTTTTATTACGGCATTGTCCGTTTTTGTGTCACCTCTCTGCGGACCGGCAGTAACCTTTCCGCGGACCGGCAATGGGCCGCGGCCCGGTGGTTGCCGACCGCTGTTATAGATAAAATAAATTCATGAATATATCAGGATATTTAAAGTCGCAAATTTTAAATATGTGAGTTGCTTTGGGTATTGAGTTACTGTGCGTGTTGATTTGCTCTCGGTTTATACTACGCATCATATTGCTTCTAGAGTTTACTCTAGACTACCGGTCCGCGATGCTTTATTGCCGGTCCGCGAGAAATTTCGTTGCTTTTATGCCGTCTCAATCGCTTTACCTAAGACGAGGTTGCGTTGGTTTATTACGCAATTTCTCCTCCGCCGTCATATTGCGACATCTTGGCGAAGAATCACACTTTTCTCGTTTTCATTCATCGCGAATGCGCTCCATCAAATCTCGCAAGATTCAGAAACCTAAAGATCGGCACGCGTGCCTTTTCTGCTCTGCGTGCTTTTTCTGATTAATATGACCTTCCATATAAAAGCTCATGCATATTTCTTTGTTTAAACCAGAGAACAGTATAATATTCCAGTGAGATATGAACTTGTTGCGACCCTGACCCACGGTGTGATTTTGAGCCTGGTGCTAAGTTACCGACGACTTTGTCATTGTAATGTAAATTCCTTTCGTTTGAGGCATCGATCAACTGCAGAGGGATTAATATGATACACACGACGAAAAAAAGAAGCTTGATTAAAATTGTGATTCTACTTTACAGTCGAGATTCAAAAAAAAGACTGTCACAATTTTAGATATCTCTTGAAAACGAATACCCTTCGCTAATTAATCGAGCAATCAAACTGTTTTCTGTCTTTTCAACCAATTGCGTTCTGCAAAAAACATCCTCATCACTCGCTTTAATTAAAACTAAGAAAAGAAATCGGCTATGCGCCGCTGCAGAGTTACGTGTTGCAGAAACTTCTTTGAAGCCTTGTTTGCAATCCTATATTAGAAACGAAACAGCAGCAAAATTCTCATTAGAGTTAATTGTGTTTGTACATGATTTGGCATGTACATGTTTTTTATGCTAGACGTTTTATGTGTGTCTTTCTTACACATAATGAGTGCCCAACAGTGCATTTCGTTACACAAATCTATGATATTGTTTCATGTGTCACCCATTTCAATTTTTGACCGGCACATTATTTGATACTTTTCTTAGTGTGAAATTTTTTTTTTGAGTGTGCCATTTTTTGTCTAGAAGCATATTCAGTGCCCGACATTGCATTATATTACGCGAATATATGTTCTTATTTTCTGTTCCGGTCATTTCAACTTTTTGCCGGTCCGCGAGTACATTTAATTTATAATTTTACCGGTCCGCAAGAGTAGAAAGGTTGGGAACAACTGTTATAGATGAGATAAATTTATTCGGGGCTCCCGAAGTATGCGAACCAAGATGGCGGACATCGGAATGTAATATGTGTACTAGGTTAGGGTTAGGCCATAACTTTAGGTATAAATACTACGGGAGGCTCTTGGCTAGTCTTCGAACTGATAATAGGACTAAAATAAGGAAAATTGGAAAAAAATTATCGCCTAACCCTAACCTGTTACCCATGTTACGTTCCGATGACCGCCATCTTGGTTCGCATACTTCGGGAGCACCATTTATTCTTATATATATTGGGATATTTAGAGTCGCAAATTTTGAATATGCAAGTTGCTTTGGGTATCAAGTTACTGTGCGTATTGATTTGATTTTTATTCATTCTACACATCATATTGCTTCTGGACTGACGTCAAATAGTAATTTAATCTCAAAATCCTGTTCTCGTGCCGCATTGACATATTATACCTGTTTCATAATTCAGTGGGGTAACGGCCGACCATCGGAGAATCGACTGCATTTAGTAAACAAAATATATATATACAGAGAGTCTGCGATAATTTCTGGTTAAAACCACACGACTCATCAAACAGCTGAATCAAGAATCCATTTCCGCTTCAATTGAGCCCTGATTATAAGCGTGACGCGTTGATATTTAGACTAAGGTTAGTCGGTACTCTCGTTGTGTGTGTATACCAAGTTAGTGTTAGGCAATAATTGCAATAATTTTTTTTTCAATTTTTCTTATTTAAGTTCTATTACGAGTTCGGGGACTGTCTGTATTAATCAAGTTAATATGCCCTCTGTTCATAGGTTTCAGTCCCTTTATATAATATATAACTTGATGTGAATAAGGCGAACAAAATTAGTTAACTCCATATTGGTACACACACTCCCATAGCGCTGGTTATAGTCACACAACAGAAGGGGTAAAAAAGCGATTAGCGATTTTTCGTAACCCGAAACGCTCTTTGGACTCTCAAAACCCCTCGTTTCCAGACCATTTCCCAAAATTTTTGGCTACGCTCCTGTCACACAAACCCCGATCGCATTTTTGGGACTTCTGCATGGCTGTTTTGCAGTTGATTATTTTCGACATGACGCTATTCCTCCAAGTTAAATCCTTTCAATTCAATCACATGTATACAAATTGCATGAATAATATAATTTATTCAATAAGCACACACAATAAAATCAAGACAATACTTCAATTTGTTCCTTTTCGCCGGCTAATGAGAAAGTCGATACCTGTAATGCATGAGTATGATCAATAGAAGAAATGAATCTAACGATCCGATTAAATAGTCCATTCCACACGGAACAAAATGGAGGAATATATCTTTTATTCGCGAATGAAATATTACGTGCAACTATGATTATTTCTCAAGCCGTAATCTTGTTACTTATTATAGATGTTGATAGATATTTGTCTGTCTGTCTGTTAGATGCACGCGATATCTCACGAAAGCGAGATTAAGTCTGCTCCAGATTTTGCACGTGCACTCATCATATCTCGAACCAGAAGCCTGTTGATTTTGGGCGAATTATGTCGTATAATTAGCGAGTTATTAATTAGTTAGTGATGGGACACAGTGTGTCACTATGGAGTAAGAGCGCTGTTTTGGGGATCCCCTAACTTTCGATCGATAGGTCTTCGGTCTTTGACCGATATTCTCGTTTAATTTATTGACAAGTACAATACATGGCTAGCAGGGGTGTCCAAAATGAAAATAATATTCGAATCGATTTGGACTTTAATATGTTCAATATAATTACATTCTCGATTAGGAATAGTTGAAAAGTCGATACTCCCGTAGTATGTGTACCAGCAATCATCTTGCACATAATCATCTCCGTATGGGATTCGGACTGGCGAACCCACTCAGGGTTTTCAGAGTGGGGGGAGGGGGAGCGTATTCGTAACGCTTATCACAACCCATGTCGAGTATGATAGTAGTTAGACTGCAGGGGTGGGCAAGGCTTTAATATCAGGGGCCAAAACTTTTGCCCGCTTAGACTGGCGGTCCATGTAAGTGTGACGTAAGAAAGTGACATTTTATGAATAATATTTACAGTGTTACAAAAGCAATTGAAAAACAGTAAGCTTCGTGCCAAAACTAAATTTAATTGAAATCTCAACAAATTTATTGAACTACTTTTTAGCTAAAACATCAAACTTTGGTTTTAGTTTGGTTGTGGCAGCATCAGGTGGGCCAGATTGAAGTATTAAACGGGTCGGATGTGGCCCACGGGCCGTAGTTTGCTCATGTCGGAGTTAGACAGTTAGTTTGGGGCTCCCGAAGTATGCGAACCAAGATGACGGACATCGGAATGTAATATGTGTATAGGTTAGGGTTAGGCCATAATTTTAGGTATAAATACTACGGGAGGCTCTTGACTAGTCTTCGAACTGATAATAGGACTAAAATAAGGAAAATTGGAAAGAAATTATCGCCTAACCCTAACCTGTTACCCATGTTACGTTCCGATGTCCGCCATCTTGGTTCGCATACTTCGGGAGCACCGTTAGTTTATTACACTTACCACGACTTAGCAGCAGTAAAACTTCACTTCATAGTTATAACAAGGTGGAGCTCCGTATGGTTGCTTGTAATTCTCGCATACGAATCCTTTCTTTACGTCATAGTATGTAAACTTATTCTGAAACGATACAATATAGACATTTTGGCGACTGGTATTCGTTACATAATATAAAGACAAAAGAGCAATGCCCAAATATATAGACACGAAGACCAACACAAAGCAGTATCAAATCTTCTACAGTATCGGTGGTCTGACCACCAGATCAGTCAAACATGATCACGCAACCCCGGCACTCTGCTCAATTTTTAGTTTGATGACGTTGTCACACAAAAATTCTAAGTGAGAAACAAATCATATAGAACCCACATAAATTTTTGTCGGAACGCCTTGTTCGCAGCAAAGCGGTATAAAAATCATTTGAATTTCTGCCGATCACACCACAGCTTCGGGTCAAGATATTGAATTACGCAGAGTCAGGTAGAACTTTATGCCGGCAAATTGTTCAACTTACCTTGGTGTATCTGGCATCAATTTTTTTGCCAACAACTCTTGCGTGTATTTTCAGAGGATGGGAACAGAATTTGTAATGCTTTCGTAGATTTTCAATCGTTTCATAATCTCCTTTGCCAGTGGGTAAGTCTGAACTCATGTAGGAGGTCCAATAACCTTATAAATGAAATATTTGATTTACTTAATGTGGATTTTTGATCTGAATGAAGCTTTAAACTGGGGTTTTCGATGTGGGAAGGGGGAATTCCCCTCCTACCTAGGTAGGAGTGATATATTATTGAGATAGGCAGGGGTCGGCAACCTTTTGTCGCTCGCGGGCCAAAATTAAGGGTTGCAAGTCATCGGCTGGCCGCACATATTTTTAGAAAGTTGAAAACCGAACGGCTGATACTTTTTATAATAAAATTCAAGCAGTGATACATCTCTCAAATAGAATATAGATTTATTTCCTCATTGCATCTCAAAAAATGCCATTAGAATATTTTCATCCCTTTGCACTAAGCATAAATTTTTCTGCGTTTTGTTGCCATTTATCTAATTATAATTAAATTATGGGCTCACTGAACAAGTAATTGTGAATTATATACTTGTTAGGTTATAATATAATTTAGTCTAAAGACTATAATCGTCAAAACGGCTGTTTTGTTACTATAATTCAATGAAGCGCCGCGGGCCGTCCGATGTCCGCATAACGTTTAATGACGTCATAGCAAACAAAAACAAATCTCACAGAGCTAACAAAAAAAAACAAAAAATAAAAGGTAATTTGCGAAACAATAAATTCACATCTTTACATCGCATGGATAGACCCTACCGGTTTTATATAGCAGATAGTAACATTATTGGGATTGCAATGTTCTTTGTTTCGTAATAGTTATTATTATATCTCACACACAAACTACAAAAAATAACTTACACTTTGGCGGAGGAGGCTTGGGGGCACAACAGAATCTAACTTTGTAGTCTTCGCATTTTTTGTCCGATTGTTCATTGTTAACGCAATAAAGCCCTTTGTCAGCTGAGATGTGAACATTCTCGTAGGCTGCTTGCCAGGGTCGGTGAGGGTTGAGTGCTCGGGCGTCGATGCCAATTGGTTTGTGACAGATGTAGTATTTGGAACCCCCTTTGCTTTCGCTGAAATAAGAAAAAAATAGGAGTATTTTTTAACAGCGTGAGAGGAAAGTCAACAAGTATATGTCAATTGTCAAGTCCGTGCTTTCGAAAAACAGATAACTGGCTAAACGAATCCCATACCCGGCATGGACATGTAACCAGACGAAAGGCCGTGGTTTGCGATATGATTAAGTCGCCTTATCGGCTTTCCTCTCCCCCGTGATGATGTAGTTATTGATAACAGTTTGATTTTTGTCACTGTAGGTAAATTTGGATTGTAGTGGCAGAAAACAATGAGGCTTTTTACTACTGAGTGGTAATTTTCAATCTAATTATTAAAATTAAAATGTCTGTTTTTGTGAAAAGAATTTCTTGTAGTTATGCACATGGGCCGCAGACAGCAGTAACAGGGCGAGAGGCCATGGTTCGTCATATGGTTGATCTGTCTTATCGGCTTTCATCTCCCACAGGATAAATATGTACATCCTATTCTGATTTTTAACCAACAAAAGAAAAAACTAGAATATCGGTCAGAGACCGAAGACTTATCGATCGATGGTTAGGGGATCCCCAAAACAGTGGTCTTACTCCATAGTGACATCGTGTGTCCCACCACTAATTAATTAATAACTCGCTAAATATTAGACATAATCCATCCAAAATCAATAGGCTTCTGATCCAAGCTGTGGTGAATGCACATGCAAAATTTGGAGCAGATTCGCTTTCGTGAGATATCGCGTGCATTTAACACACAGACATACAGACAGACAAACACCTATCAACATACTTACCGATCTTGAGATCGATAAGTAATAAGTCACTGCACTTACGTGATTAAATCTGAGAGAGTTTCATAGTCTCCTTTACCGGAAGGATTGTCTCGATCAAACCATTGAGTCCACTCTCCTTTGCAAGATGGCTCTGAAGAAATAAAATTGGTTGAATATTTTTCGATATCGTGTTTCTTGGACTAAGTTATTTTGGCGCTCCAGAAGTTTGTGTAGCAATAGGGAGATAACAAATTTTGTTCCCTACTTTACATCAAGCTGTATAAAGGGACTGAAACCTATTCACTTGGCTAACACTGACAGTCCCCGAACTCGTAATGGAACTAAAATAAGAAAAATCGGAATAAATTATTGCCTAACCTGGTACAATGGAAGTCTCGATTTTTTTTTGAGATTGATTAACTTTGATTAATTTTTTTTACCAAAGTTGCATATTATGATAGATGAGGGCATGCATGACAACAAAAGTGTCGAATTTCACCTCAGATTATTGCACAAGAAATGTATATATTATAGATCGTTTGGGTTGTTCTCAACTGGATGACATTAGTTGTTGCAAAAATTATTTTACTCCGCAATTGATGTCGCCTGAAAGTTTTTACCTTCTTCCCAAATTTCTTCTGGGATCCGACCGGATCCGGATTTCAAGCAAATTTTTTTCTGTTTTATTTTTGATATGGGAACACTTTTCATGAAATCTGGTGATTGTCAGGCCGGGAGATTTGACACGAGAACAATTTTTATAACATATAATGATTGTCAGGCGGAATGATAAAACTCAGGTTTTGCGTTGGAACACTTTTTAAGACATCTGGGGATTGTCGGGCGGGGTGATGATCTTCAGATATGACATGGGAACATTTTTTTTATGACATCTGGTACTTGTCATGCATTAAAGAAAAGACAGTGAAATCGAACTCAAGATATTTAGATCACCGATATCCACTTACCTTTGAAATGACAACAGAAACGAACTTTATAATCGTCACACTTGTGATCTTTCTGCTTCTTATTCTCACAAACTAAACCCTTGGTTGGACTGATATCGACGTGGTCACCTCCAAGTTGGTAGGGATCGCCATTTAGCAGTCTGGCATCTATTGCACTTGGCTTGGAACATAATGCGGGGTGTTTTTTTCTGAAAAGTAAGAAAATGATAATGAGGAACGGCGATTTTTGTACACACCCCTATAGGGGAGACACACCCCTAAAAAATTTTTCAAACAACCCCTCCCCACCTTTGATTCCTGGCTAACCCCTGTGCCTGATTATAATGCAAAGATGCTGCAGCAAACACTATTTGTGTCAGCTTCGTCTGGCTTATTGAGACAAATAAAAGTCAACAGAAGAAATATTTTTGTCTGAAAAAGTCGACTTTTCAGATCGCATAAATCTGAACTTCTTTAAGTCTGCGTCAATCGGACTTACTTGCGCGTAATTCTATGTGAAAATTCTATATTGCAGGGGTGTGCAAAAGGCGGGCCACAATCGGGCATGCCAAGCCATTAAGTTTGGCTCTTGTCAACACTCGGATTTTGTCCCCTGAAACAGGAAATCCTAATCCGGCAGTTTATGTATAAAAAGGCGCTCACATGAGTAAAAATACGTAATGGTTTTTGGGCTTGTCGCTTCGTTAAATCTTTCGCCGTTTTTCTTTATTACTGGATGGGTAAGCGATAGCCAAATTCTCTTCTCTTGCCTTTTCCGTGGCGCTCTGGTTATCGCTAGTATTTTAATTCATGCATACATGGAAAAACTAGAATTTATGTATGGCCTAGCTAAATATGTAGAGTTGGTTATATGGCCCACCGACAAAAAATGTCGCACAACCCTGTCATATAGTTCCCATTGTTCTTGAGATTTCTGCGATTATTCGTTACGTCACTCTGAGATTAGTTTCTTTTTTACTGGATAAGTCCCTTTGGCTTTGCCATGTAAAAAAGGTATAATGTCACACATCCTTTCTCACCTGAGATCATGGAGAGTTTCCCAATCACCTGTAGCAGATGGGTCGTCTCTGTCGTAGAAAGGAGACCAGTATCCGCCATCACATTTGGGTTCTGTAACAGGAAAAATTATTTTTCAAAGGTTTTGCCTAAATTGGATCATTTGTGCGGGGGTTGCAATTTTAGTTGCCATTAACTAGATTTGGTTCTGAATTTGAAATTAAATATTGTTGCGAACAAACGCAGTCATTTTTTATTTTATATTATCAACAATCAGACCAATGCGGTGTCTGTGTGATCTGTCTGAAATGGATTGCGCAATAACCAGTCCGGGTAGAAATAAAAATAATAACTTACAATCAAAATTCGAACCCGGTTTGTTTAACCCGCGAAATGACCGCTTTTGCCATCGCGCCCTAAAAGCTCAGAACTTTAAAGATAAAGTAAAGAACATTCACTAACCCGGGAAACAGCAGAATCTAACTTTGTAGTCCTTGCAAGGAGGTTTGTACCAATCCTTCTGCAATTTGTTCTTACAAACAAACCCGAACGATCCCGATCTGTCCTCATCACGAATATAGTTTCCGCCGAGGTACCAGAAATTTGCGTGGTCCGGGTAGCCCACAATTCTTACATCTACTGCGACTGGTCTCTCGCAGATTCCTTTTTTTTCTTTCCGGAGATCTTTCAGAGTTTCCCAGTCACCAGTCCCACTAGGGTTGTCTCTATCGTAGAATCCGGTCCAGTGCGCTCCTTTGGGACATTCCGGAATGGAGTACACTGAAATTGACAAGAATTTGAGTGTCATAGTCAAAAAAAAATTGAAGACATTGAAAGATATTGCATGCGGTTTGGACGCGTACAAAATAATTACACGGAGGCGTAGCCAGGAGGAAAACATCTTCCCGTATTATATATAAGAATTTTCGTAGATTGAAATGCTGTTTAGACTAGGGCTGGGCATACTCGAATACCTGATGATTTCAGAATCGAATAATTTTTTCGAATCGAATCCCGAATACTTGGGAGATATAAAATTGTATGTAACCTTCTTATTGTATTAGGTTCACTAGACACATAAATTACTGAAAACATAGAATACATCGCTCAGACAGATTGCTGAGCGTTCACACACAATAAAAAACATGTTTTCATCAGTAACTCACTACAGGAAAGAGTCGTATGTCAGGATATCGTTGAATAAATATGGCTTCAATAGAAAAAACTGAGAAATTACCTCGACCATTGGCGGAAAGAAAAAAAAAATGGCGGCGATTCGAAATTTTGCTTTGAACCGATTCGAATAATTTCATATTTGATTTGATTCGAATATTCGATTTGAAATGCCCAGTTTAGACCCAAGACTCTTAAAAACCCATGTTTTCGGGCGGGACCCGCTTGCTATTAGGGTCTAACTTGGCAATTAGAAATTTTAACTCCCCCGATCCCCCCCACCCCCTCAAAAAATCATGTCTATGCCCTTGTAATAAAATTCGAAGGAAAGAGGCAAATGCTGAAATTACAGAAAATAACATTTATTCAAGGATATTACAAAAAAAAAATAGGTGTTCTTTAAACCTAATCTAACCATACCTTGAAGCGAAAGGTATATCAATAAAAATCTACGGGAATTTTAAAATAAACAATATACGTTTTCTTAATTTTTTCAAAATATTTCCTACACATTCTACGGCGAACAAAATTAGTTACCTACATATTGGCACACACCCTTCCCAGAGCGCCTACAAAAACGCCGTGAAATTATAATAACAACATCACTCACCTTTATATATGCAAACATAAATGGCGATAACTGCCGCTAACACACGCATGTTGTGTTTCTCTTATACCAAATTAAAAACTGCAATAAAAATAATTTTAATATTTTTTTGATAGAGTCACAGAGCTTAGAAAAGAACAAATATTTTCTTCTCACTGTATTGTTTATAGAGCTGGGAATATTTAATCGGGTAACCGTTATTAAATAGTTAAACGGTTACGAATATTTTCTATCGTTAACTTCATCCCTGTCTTGTTTGTGTCCATTTTGTACTCGAAAATACATAGAAAAATTTCAAACGCGAAATATTGTTACAATCGAAACATCCAGTTTCCTGAATTACAGAAGTCAAAACACTGTACAAACATTATGATCGAATAAGACACATTGGTAAAATTTAACCCACCACCCCATTTCCCGGTACTTCCCCTTACTATTGTTTCTAAGAAGCGCAATTTTTCACGCAAATACCAAAATAAAAATCTGAATCAGCTCCGCTCTTGCCCTGCTGCACTAGATTTGCATACTTGGCATTGATAGCACCTTCTCCGATCGATGGCTTACACACCAAAATTGAGCAAAACTGAGCCAAGTTCGAAAAACCTCAGCCTATTAGCTCTGTTGAGATGCTAAATCGCCGTGGTCATTTCAGAATTTAAGCGTTTATATACAATATGGCCGTAAACGAATGACTTGGCATAAACGAGTGTTTTGCCTTGAGGATATGTTACCGGTACCGACACAGTGGCGAATTCGATGTAATGTTTTTGAACGAAAACAATATTTTCGAAACTAATCATTTGCGGGAAATTCCGAAATTAAAATACGAAAAATTTACTTACTTTTTATGGTAAATGCATTATGCCAGTAAAAGTAATTTATTTAATTCTGATAAAACGTGATTGCATTTTCACTATGTACATTGCTTCGTACAGGTCGAGTACCCCCCAATCTCTTTGAAATGAAAAAAAAATTGTGTATCATACATAAAAAGTTTTCGTAGCTAAAAACGCTTTTTGGATTATGCGCGTACGAAATCAAATTGGCAGTCCATTCACAGTTTTATCGAGGATTCTAGCTTCAATTACTCTTAATGTTAATTAAGTAAATTTTATTGTTTTTTTTAAAGTGTAAATTATTGGTTTTCACTATAATTAAAATCTTAAAAATATTTTGCTTTAAAAATCGTGTTGGTACGAATGAAACAAAGAACTTATTTTTCGTGAACTCTTCCAGTTAATATTACCCGGAACTTATCGAAAAATAAAATTCATTTTAACGTAAAAGGACTCGTCTATAAATTATCATTATACGCAGGATAATGACAGTGAATTTTTGCCCGTTTGCAAAAGTTGCGCACAACAGACGTCAGAGGTAGAGCTATGAAACCAAATAATGTAAATAAAATACACTAATATGATTTTCATATATTACTGTTCTGATTTTCAAACAGGAATAAATCGTAAATTAAAAATTGGGATCTTTCGCAGAAAGCCACTGATGGAAAAATGTGAGATTTGAGAAAACACCCCGGCCACGTTTTAAAATAACAAACGAGAATATCGGTCAGAGACTGAAGACTTATCGATCGAAAGTTAGGGGATCCCCCAAAACAGCGCTTTTACTCCATAGTGACACCTTGTGTCCCATCACTAATTAATAACTCACTAATTATACGACATAATTCGCCCAAAATCAATAGGCTTTCGGTCCGAGATATGATGAATGCACATGCAAAATCGCCTCGCTTTCGCGAGATATCGCGTGCATCTAACAGACAAACAGACAGACAGACAAATACCTATCAACATACTTACCGATTAAAATCGATAAGTAATAATTAATTGAGGCTAGAAATGATTTAAAAATTTGAATTTTCAGCGCAATCTGCATTCCTAACCCTCACCCCTACTGGGTAATCACTAATTTGGGGGCTCCCGAAGTATGCGAACCAAGATGGCGGACATCGGAATGTAATATGTGTACTAGGTTAGGGTTAGGCCATAATTTTAAGTATAAATACTACGTGAGGCTCTTGGCTAATCTTCGAACTGATAATAGGACTAAAATAAGGAAAATTGGAAAAAAATTATCGCCTAACCCTAACCTGTTACCCATGTTACGTTTCGATGTCCGCCATCTTGGTTCGCATACTTCGGGAGCACCCTAATTTGTTATTTTAAAACGTGGCGGGATGTTTTCTTCTTATTTTGAGCGCGGGTGGAAGTTTAGTACAAAAGATCCTTGTTTTTGATTTCAAGTTATTACCAAATCTACTTGCACGGTGAGCGTTTTGGCAGCCGATTGGCAAGTGAAGCCACTTTGCTCTGATTTCGAAACTCTAACTCCAATTACTTTTAAAAATCAGTACAAATGATTTAGATATCTTTTGTATAAAGCGCTGGAAATTTGAATTTTTCAAATCAGTTCTTGCCTCAACTGTATATTTACTAATTTGTTATTTTAAAACGTGGCGTTTTTTTTTATCAAATCTCCTCATCAGTGGCGGTGGCTTTGTACAAAAGATCCGGATTTAGTTCACCGATACTCATTGGTGACATCTTGTTCAAAGATAAGTATACTTTTTGATTTTTTTTAAAGTGTAGATTATTGGTTTCACTGTAATTAATGTCTTAAAAATATTTTTCTCAAATATCGTGTTTGTACAACGAAAAAACATATTGCGTAAACCAGGGGTCGGCAACCTTTTGTCGCTCGCGGGCCAAATTAAGGGTTGCAAGTCATTAGCTAGCCGCGCATTTTTCTAGAAAGTTAAAAACCGAACGGATGATACTTTTTATAATAAAATTGAAGCAGTGATACATCTCTCGAATAGAATATAGATTCATTTCCTTATTGCATTGCATCTCAAAAAATTCCATTTGAATATTTTTGGCGCCATTGAACCCTTTGCACTTAGCCTCAACCTTTCTTCGTTTTGTTGCCATTTGTCTAATTATAAATAAATTATAAGCTCATACGAGTAATTTGTGGTTATATACTTGTTGGGTTATATTATAATTTAGTCTACACATGTCTCACAATAAATTATGTTACGTAAAAAATATAATCGCCAAAACAGCTGTTTTGTTACTATAATTCAGCGAAGCGTCGCGGGCCGGATTACATCACTCCGCGGGCCGTAGGTTGCCGACCCCTGGCGTAATGTTTATTTCCACGCCTCGTATCGCGTAATTTCTTCGGGAATCCGTCGTGAGATGAAGTCACTTAGAAGTAGAGTTGGCGGGATCGGGTCATTCGTTCGTTACTCGTTCAATTACTCTCAGTATTAGGTAAATTGTATGATTTTTTTAAAGCCTAAATTATCGGTTTCACTTCAATTAAAGTCTCAAAAATATTTTTCTTAAATATCGTGTTGATACAACGAAAATAAAATATTACATCATTTTATGTTTATGCCTTGTAATCGCGTAATTTCCTCGGGAATCGGTCGTGAGATGAAGTGACTTAAAAGCAGAGTTGGCGAGATCGAGTCATTCGGCACTCGTTCAATTACTCTTAGTTTTAGATAAATTTTAATATTTTTTAAATGCCTAAATTATCGGTTTCACTATAAATAAATTCTTGTAAATATTTTTCATAACATTCGCGTTCAACGAAAAAACACATTGCGCATTTTCATTTCCTCGCCTCGTATCGCGTAATTTTCCCGTGAATCGGTCGTGAGACACGGAGTTCAGGGCCAGGTTATTTAAAAACATCATATCCACTTCATGCAGGACCTAATAACTCAGAGGTGTGCAACCGGGGGCGCGCGGGCCACAATCTGGGCCGCCAAGCCATTTAGTGTGCCCCTCGTCAACACTCTGATTTTTTCATAAAGCATAAAACCTTAATCTGACAGTTTATGTTTAAATAGGTGCTCACGTGAGTAAATATACACAATATATTTATTCCCGTCTCACCGTGTTAAAAATTTCGCCGTTTTGTCCGGCGCATTTATACTGTAAGGCTAAGCGATAGCCGCATTCCAGTCAGCTGAGGGTTGCCACAACTTCTGCCTAAGCTGATGTTAACAACTTATGCAAGAACGCAAAATTCCAAGTGTCCTACACTAAAATGTTAAATAAATAAAATTTTCATTGTGAGAGTTTTTTTATTCGTTGTGTACACGGAAAAGTTAAGCCAACCAGCCAACATATTTCAAATACTCTTAGTAAATATGTATATTTATGATTTTTTTTAAAAGTGTAAATTATCGGTTTCACTATAATTAAAATCCTAAAAATATTTTTCTCAAATATCGTGTTAATACAACGAAAATAAAATATTGCACCGTTTTATTTTTATGCCTTCTAATCGCGTCATTTTTCACCGATCGGTCGTGAGATGATTTATTTTATACAGCCTATTAATAATAATTGCGCGTTTCATACGAAACCTTCATTAAATCGAAAATAAATAATCATATGAGCGGAATTTTTCCGTCTGCGTTTGTTGAGATTTTTTCAAAGTTTTAACGTTTGATTGGGGTCGCAAAAAGTACACCAATTTCCCATATTGTACTTTTTTACACTTTTGGGTTGAAGTGCAATTATTAAAACTAGTGCGAAACATAAGTCTCATGATTTCAAGAGAATACATAGAATCAGAGAAGCAACTCGTCTTAACAGGGGTCGCGGAAAATTTGAATATATTGAAAGGGGTGGCGATCTTGAAAATTTAGGAAGCCCTGGATTAAGCAATACGGAATAAAAAGTGTTCCCTTCAATTAAAATATGTGTTGATTTTGCGGATACTCTCGTAGTATGTATACCAGGTTAGGGTTAGGCCCTAATTTTATTCCGATTTTCTTTATTTCATTTCTATTACGATTTCGTGGACTGTCTTTGTTACCCAAGTGAATATCCCCCTGCCCATAGGCTTCAGTCCTTTACACAACTTGATGTAAAGTAGGCGAACAAAGTTAGTTACCTCCATATTGGTAAACACACTTCTGAAGCGCCGTTTTGCGATGTGGACTTACCGCTATCGTCCGCCAGCTATGGACTACGCAATCCAGGAAGGTACGAAGAGCAAAGGTGCAAGAATGAGGGATCAGCGCATAGCAGAAAAGGGTAGTCAAAAATTCAGAAAACGCATTTAAAGAAGTCGACTGGATACAACGCGGACCCAGCGTTGGACACACAATGTCTATAA